GTGTTTGCTCCAGAATAACGCTCAGCAGATTGTTTGCAAATTCAGCTTCAAAAACCTATTCAGCAACGTCTTGCACCTCAATAGCTTTATGAGTGTACGCTTTGTTCCATTAATGGAAAAAATATTCCACAAAGCAAAGCATCTCAGTCCCATGGACCTGAATGTGACTCCCCCCACTACATCAGAGGAATATGTCAAATGTTTGCTTTGTGAAATCTTCAACATTGAAATGGAGGAACTTGGAGATGACATGACACTTGCAGCCCTGGGCATTGACTCAATGCTGGCAATGACCATGCAGAATCGCATCTATCAGGAAAGACAAATCCGTGTTCCTCTTGTAGTGATCCTTGACCCAAATGGCACAATCAGTTCTTTAATTTCACTTTTAATGGGGGACAAAAAGGCAGAGAGACAGGAATAGTTTTGGTGGAGGTGTGGAATATTTTGCTCAGCAGCAGTTCATGGTTTAGGGTTTTAAGTTTGTTGATGCACTTGATACGTTGTGGTGACCCTTAACACACTTTATAATGAATATAATGAATAATGGTTTATCAAAGAACACTGTCAAGTATTTTATATGAATAGTGGTTAATCACAGTTAATCATAATCACAAAATTTGATGAATAATGAAAAATCTGCAATAGCTTAGGATTGTTTATTATAACGATGTGTATATTTTTATTGAAATTACTTTTGCAAAATATGTCTTTAAGAAAAAAAAAAGTTTAAATGCCAAAATTGGTGTCTCAATATGTACTAGTCCCTGTTTGTGTATTGCAGTTAAACAGTTGATACAGCGTGATCTTTTCTATTACATTTTTGAATGACATGTTACGCGCCGCTGCAAGTTAACCTCCGCCCACAGCAATTCTCCGCCCCGTCATCCTTCACTCCGTCTCTCCGCCCAGACCCCGCCCACAACTCGCAGCAGGAACTTACGGAGCTCTGCTCATTATTTGCTATTATTGGTTTTTGGTTTATTGGATTTCTGATTTTTTCGCCTTGCCCCTGTCTGTACTTTCGCTTTGGTTTATTTGCTCTTTGGTTTCGATATCTCGCCCGGTTTTAGGTTTACGTCTTCGCGCGCCCCTCTTACTTTTTTGGCTTTGATCAGTGTATGTTCTATGTATGGTGCACAGGGAATTACTGCCATTTTTGTTTTGCGAGTTTATGTTGTATGCTGTTGTTTGGAAAGGGAGTGAGGCGTAGAATTTGTCGTTTGTGTTTTTGATTTCTTTGCGCTTAAAGTTAGCTTTGGGTGGCGTTCGGAAGCTGGGTTTTGTTTATTGTTTTGGCTATAATCACTCCTGAGTCCTTTTGCACCGGGTTTATTTGTTCTGTGTCCATGGCGTGTAAATAAAAAAACAGGAAAATACTAAAGAAATACCCCTTTGTCCACGTGTGTTCCCTTGTCCACCACACCCGGTTATTCCCTTATTCCACTTCCCCTTTCACTCTGTTACGCCACAACCATACACTGGGGCTCGTAACAGTGGTTAGAAAGGTTACGACTATTACTGAAGATGCAGGTTTCAGCTTGTACAGCTGCTGAAAGCACAGTGCTGGACTGTTTTTATCTCTTCATCACTTCCGTAAGCTACAAATCCATCATGCTATTATACTGTATGTGTCATGACCTGCTCGTACGATCCTCGTGTGTGCACGCCCCCTCATTACCTACGTGTGCTACCCCGATTGTGATCACCTATTGCCTGTTATTTTCTGCTTGTCTGGTGTATTTAGTCCACTTTCAAGTCTGTTTCCCCAGGTCTGTCATTGATGTGGTTTGCCGTGTGCTCCCCAGTCGTCCTGTCAGCCCTAAATAAAACCCCTTTACCCGCATTTACGGCTCTCTCGCCTGTTTCCCCGCCCGCCCGCAGTCATTACAGAATGGCTAGGTATAAACGATTATCCAGAAGTCAGGAGAGTGCAACATACAGGTAGTGAGCAATATGCCAGTACAATCCTACCATGAAATACACTGCATTTAATGTGCTTCTGTGTAACTGGTTTAATGCTGGAACATATATATATATATATATATATATATATATATATATATATATATATATA